ACCTAGCTCCACAGCATCAGTTATCATGGAGACCTAGCTCCACAGCATCAGTTACCATGGAGACCGAGCTCCACAGCATCAGTTACCATGGAGACCTAGCTCCACAGCATCAGTTACCATGGAGACCGAGCTCCACAGCATCAGTTACCATGGAGACTTAGCAGGTAATCGGAGAGCCACCTTCGTGACACTGAGAACTCTGACTTTAAGCTCAACATACCCGATAGCCCACTATCTCACTTTGTAGTTCAGCCCTCAGAGGAGGCGTCACTCAGACTACAGCTGATGGTGGCAGCAGAGAGCATTGTGGGAGTTTAGCAGCAGTGGGGCCATGACAGAGACTCTGAGGAGGTTCAGGACCTCCAACCAGAACCAGAATGTCAGAACACGTTAAAGCTAACAGGATGCTGATTACGCTGCTGTGCTTAAATGTTTATGGTCAAAAATAACTTCATTTAGAACTTTACTGCCGATTGTTACTGTGTCTGATCCAGAAGGTCCAGATTGTCTTTCTCAGTGAAGTTTTAGGGAAACAATTCTACCAGCTGATCGTTTCGCCTCATTACCGGTTAAAACCGTTTTTATCGGGTGTTTTAAATCAGCCGCGTCTCTTTTGTTGTCTTACAGTAAACGTATCATCAACCTGGGCCCGGTCCATATCGGCAGAGACAGTCCAGAACCTCAGCACCAGCCCGTCGGCATCAGAGTCATCTGTGGACACTGCTCCAACACATTCCTGGTACCGCCTACACAGAAACACACAGATACTTTCCTGTTGTTTTAAAGTGCTGGGTCAGCTCCAGAACTATTTTTTGCGGCTGATCGGGTTCACTCGCTGAACTGTCGTTGTCTCTCCCAGTGGACAGAGTTTTCTGACCGGACCTTGGCTCGATGTCCACACTGCAGGAAAGTGTGAGTGTCTCTTTGTCCGTGTGCTGGAGGTAAAAAGACGTTTGTTTCTCGCACTTGGTCGCGGGACACTAAGAGCTTTTCCTCGTCTGCTTCTGGTTTCCAGCTCTTCCATTGGCCGTCGGTACCCGAGGAGGAGGAGCCTGCTGTGCTTCCTGCTGTTTGTCGCCCTGGCCGCCTCCACTGCTGGACTCCTGGTGAGTATCTGAAGACATCTGAGAACTGCCTGTTTTAATGTGATTCAGAAGAGTTTGTAAGCTGTGAGCGGCTCGAATGTCGTCTTCTGATGTGTTTTGAACTTTTTCTGCATTCATCAAGATGTTGTTATGAGATGTTCAGCTTTAGAAAAAGTAAAGCTGAATTTCTTTGATTATTTACGTGATAAACATGAGCTGAGTCCCGACTGGCTTCACGGCCGTGTAGCAGAGAACAGGCTGTTTGGTTTTGTACAGGCTGGAGTTTGAGCAAATGCTTTATTTTTGGCGAACTGTTAAATGAGGTGTGAAATAAAGTATTCTGATGAAACATCCTGATTTTAAGCTGAGCTTCTGCACCTGCACAGCCTGAATCTTTAGCACCTGACTGTTGGCCAAAGCTGAGTCACTTCACGGTTGCACCAAGCAGTGAGGACTTCTTTGCTTTTTGCAGAATGTCGTCAGCAAAGGTTTTGTTTTGGCAGATTGTCAGACTGAGAATAAACTGATTTTGTTGAGACTTATTTAGATGATGAGTTCAAAAACTGTGATGGTTTTACAGTTTTCTGGCTGATAATTGGTGCGATTTGGGAGATTTTTTTAAAGATGAGATGCCTTTAAAACAGATTTTAGGGTTCAGAGGGTTAAATTCTGCTGAAGTTAAGGTTAAAGGCATTTGGATAAGTTTAACTGTTGCATATGTTTTGGAAGATGTGTATATTTTTGGAGGAGTTTTGAAATTCTATCTTCATCTTGGATTATTATTATTATTATTGTTATTATTATTATTATTATTACAAAAATGTCCCAATTTAAAGCCATAAAGCTGCTAATTTAGATTTTACCTGCATATATTATAAAATGATTGCGACACAGATGGAATCATGTCTTGAAGATGAGCTTTATTTCAGAAAACCGTCTGATTCTCAGGGAGTCGAGGGAAGTTCTTTTCTGATTTGGTTGATTTTATGTTAAATAACTGAACCCCACATCTCAGGTGACTTCAAGCAATTAAATCCAATTCTCCTCCTCGTCCTGTTACGTTGGACAGAATTTTAAAGATGAGGTTGAAGTTTTTTCTAAAGTAACTAAAAAGCAGCTGGTGAACCATTTGGTGTGTGTTTGTGTGCTCAGGTCGGGACGTGGAAACCCGCCCAGCAGTCCAAAGGCATCTACGTGTCGTGGGTGCTGCTCATCCTGCTCGCTGTGTTCACGCTGGCCAGAACCATCTACTGGAGGTGCCTGAAAATCAGCGACCCGATATCCAACATCACATAGAGAAAGGGAGGTAGAGAGCGAAGGAAGGAAGGAAGGAAGGAAGGAAGGAAGGTGAGAGGGAAGGCAGCAGGTGATGTGAAGTGTAGGAACCTGATGGAGGCAGGAGAGATGAAGGGAACAGTCGATGTAAAGGGAAGTGAAGGAGGAGAAAACAAGTATGTAACTCATTTAAAATGCCATAATTAAGCCAAATTGGATTTGAATGCACCCGAGTCGCCAGTTAACAACGCAGACGTCGTTCACCGCCTCCAGCGGCTTCGTTTTACCGTCACTCATGGTCGTTTGAGAAGAAGCTGGACGAGGATTCCTCTGCGATGGACCAACACGACGTTTGAAGACTGATGCTGCCATTGTTTCTGATTGAAACCTCCACGAGATCAATTTAGGAGATGAAATTTGTCATTTTTGTTCCTCCAACATTCTAAGAAACATGTTTCCTGCAGAACAATGAAATGAAAAAAAAAACGAGTAACGACATCTGGTAACCACTTTGTGTTTTCTGTGGACAGAACAGGATTAATGACCGTTAATTAACCGAGACACCAGACGAACTGAGCAGGTCAGAAACAAGATGTGCTTATTATATTTATTTTTTAAATGAAATTCAGTCCAGTTTCTTTTTCACCACCACAGGATCACACTTTCACCTTCAAGCAGACCAAGTAAATGATTCTCCCCTTTCTGAAGGACTGTCTCCGTGTTGTAGACGGATGATCGCCAAGTTCAGAGGCTGCACCGCAAAAAATCAAAAACCAGATTAAAATTTGGCTGCTGTTCCTGTCGAAGTAGAGTGTCGACAACACGTGTGTCTACGATGACATAAACTTGTCCAACAAGTCTTAACATTTGTCCAAAATGACTCTGAATGTTTCCACAATGACTCAAAACCTGCCTGATGTGACTCGAAACTTGTCCGAGATGAGTCCACATCTGTCAAAAATGAATAAAAACATTTCAGAAATAAAAATGTTATTGGAATCACTGAAAATAGTCTAAAATTACTGAAACGTTGGCAAAACATGACAAAAATGACTCAAACTAACAGAACTTTGTCCACATTTATGATGCGGTCTGTGCAACAGAATCAGTCCTGGAACTTTCTGATCACCCGTCGTACGTCAGGTGTTGTCAGGAGTCAGCTTAGAAGATCCGTACCACTTACTCAGCTGCTGATTAGCTTAGCTTAGCATAAGGATGAGGGGTTTTTTTGTTTATTTGTTCATTAACTGATGTGTACACTTTAATTTTCAACTTGTGCTTTTGCAGGATGTTGTGCGCTGCTGGGTTGTTTCCTTTCTGACAGAGCCAGGCTAGCTGTTTGCTAATGTTTGCAGTCTTTATGCTAAGCTAAGCTAACCATATCCAGGCCACAAAATTTCCTTCTGTCCCAAAACTCTCTCTGAGGATTCAGATGCGAGCAGAGAAACAGTCGGAGTGGAAGTTTTGCTCATAAACCGTCAGGATTGTTAAACTTTCAGTGTTTGTTGCGGTGAAGAAACAAAACAGAACTAAAAAGTGAACAGTTTTAATTCTCACCAGCAGAACACTGAAAGCATCTCTGCTGCTCCTTAAAGCCAAACGGCTCGTATCATTTAAAGGCCTTTAATCATTTGATCAGACAGTTTATAAGAGCAGGAGGAGCCTGGAGGAAGCTGGACGATGAGAGACGATGTTTTCAGCTAACAGGATTAAACGGGGACGTTTTATAGACGGGCATTAACTCAGTCTTTTTCTTTACAGCTTTTATAAAGTAGCAGCATGTCGGCGTCAGGTCATCTCACTTTGATTTTGTTTCAGCAGCTCATTTCTTTTTTTCTTCTCTTTTCGCGGCAGAACGCTTCGTGTTGTCAGAATATCATGAAGGGAACGCTTCTTTACTAAAAAAACCCAAAGTGCTGTTGTTTGCTGTTTGTAAATCACCTGGGAGGCTTTTATTTATTGATCTGTGTCACCTGGATCAGACTAAACCGTGTAAATACGTCCACTGGATGTCGACTAGTTCAGACTGTACAGATTATCAGAGCCGTTGCTTCCCCCTTGTGGCTGATTCATGTAAGTACCTGCTGACTGTGAAACATGTTGCACTACATTGTACTGATGTACTACTACTGTATGTTTCTCTGGTGGGTGGATTGTTCTTTTCTCTGTTTGTATATTGTGGAACAAATACTACTTTTAACAAGGTCCTCTGACTCACACGTGCCTCTTCTTTGACCGAATTAGTTCCAGATGTGCAGGACTTTATTTATTACGGAACGTTTAGTGTTGAGGATGTTTAATAGTGTTGATTCTTTATCTACATTAACTTTAGTTTATTTAACGAAGCCATGCAAAGTTTTTAAATGTGGTTGTTTAGCCCTGTAACAGACTTAGAGCATCAGTATTATGGGATGTATCGTTATTTCTGCAGGGCATCATTAGAAAATCATTTTCCCACAGCGTCTATAGATGGTTCAGGTGTTAAATGTCGGTAGAAAAGATCCTTTCATTGTCTATAACGTGTTCTGACCAACCACCATCACACTTTTAATCCTCTACAACTAACTAATGATAACTAATGAGTCCTGTCGTCAGTGTTGAACGATAAATTAAACCATCGCTTTAATTAGTTGTGGTTAAAATATTAGCAGAGATTATAAAACATGTAAGTCTTATTTTACACACAAGCACAACAAATACGTACATTAAGCCCCAAAATTATTCCGATCAATGCCAAATTAATTAATTAATTGTGATTTATTTTATTCCACCGATGCATAGAAAAGACATGAACATCTGATAAAAGACGACAAGACAGTGAATTTTAAGTATTTTTACGTTTGTATTGACGTTTCTGTTAAAAATGCAGCATCCAAAGTGATTCCTAACATTGTAGTTGCTGCAGCGTTTTGAGGAAGCTGCAGCTCTCAGATGTTCCTGTTGGTTTCTACCATGTGTTTTAATCCACAATAAACTGAGCTGCTGCAGTCGTTCTCCAGATCGTTACTCGTCGACCACAAGTGCTGTTGGCCTTCATTCGTTAACGAGAATGAATACGAATAACTTTTAAGCAAAAACCTGAACATCTCCAACGCAATGTCTTGCCGTCCTTTGATGCCCATTTTTTAGTTATTTCCTGCCAGAGGAAAGCTGCCTGTGAAACAGAAATTCACCATAAATATAAATAATCTGGGCTTTAACGGGTGTATTTACCAGCAGCAGCCACTAGAGGGCAGCAGCACAGTGACGGACGGAGGAAGTTCTTCACCTCAGAGCTGGTTTATGGTCAACATTTGTCCAAACAGGCTCCGTATCGCAGTCCCAAACATAGTTTATAACTATATTAAAATTCACTTTTCTGCTCAGGTTTTCCCGGTAAGGCGTCTCTTTGACTCAACCTTGATGTTGTCTGATGTTTGTCCTTCTCTTCAGTTGAAGAATCAGCAGCTACGTTCATCTGTACGTCTTCTGTTTGGGTCCAGCAGGTCTCAGAAGTTCACCAGTAGAGTCGTACTTGTCAGGTTAGTTTATGTAATAAAAAATGATCACGTTAGTGCATAAAAACGACACCTCGTACGACGTGGTACTTGCTGAAAGTTGCACAAGTTGTATTTCTGTATTAAATTTGTAAAGCAGCATTGAAAGGGTTAATATTTTTCTTCCCTCCAGGGAGTTTCTGGTGCCACAATCTAAAGACGAAATCAGGTTTTTGCTCATTTTTTCATCTTCTTTTCTGATCAGTCACCAGAGGAAACTTTACAAAGTGCATTCTGGGTAAACGTTCCAGGCTCATATCAGCATGTGTGACGGTGGTTGGTCAGAACCAGTTCTAGACAATGGGAGGACCGTTTACCTCCAGAACCTATCTGCTGTACTCATGAAGTTCTGAGGCTCAGAAATGATGGAAAAAGTCCATTAAAGTGATAAATCTGGACCCTCCTCTGTGGACTTGAAGGACCTGGACCTCTGGAACATTCACAGTCTGAAGGTAGAACTCTGGTCAGTGGATACAGAACCAGATGTTCTGAGGAGGTTCTGGAGGATCTTTGTTCCGGTTGGTTTTCTGTGGACTGACCCTGAAATGCTCCAGTGGAAGCGGACACCCTGAACCAGACGCTGTGCTCCGGTGGACTGGTGTTGAATATTGTTCCAGTGGTGTTAAAGTGACTTCATTAGCGTGCGGGTCTATTTTTAGTGGGACTGAAACATGTCTGTTTTACCTCCCATCACCCCCCTCCAGCTGCTGCCTCTGAGATCCTCCCCATTCACCGCTCAGCCTCTCGAGGCTCAGGTCCTGCCGAGACACCGGCGGATCAAACCCTCTGAAATCTGGCACTGTGGGACGCCTGAAGCTCCCAGATCCTGGACTAGTGGAGGACGGCGAGTTTGGTTGTTTGTGCAGGAGTAGGATAGTTGGGTGGAGGCGGATCTGTTGCCTTGAATTCTTTTGGATTTATTCTTCTTTGTAAACACTGGAAGATAAACTCCAGTTCATTTTGGCATCACTGGATTAGAAACACTTGGGTCCATCACAGAGTCCGCCTGGAAGCAGAGGACTGAGTAAAGTGCTATGTGTGTGAGCTAGGCGTCGGCGGCCATGGTGGAGAAAAAGAAGGACCGCGGTTCTGAGCAGCACACCGAGACGCCCAAGAGCAGCAGCAGCAAGCAGAACTCTGCAGCCGGGAGGAGCAGCCAAACGCCCGGCGGCGGCGGCGGCGGCAGCAGTGATCCTGCAGCCTGGTGAGGACGAACCCTTTCTGTCTCCTCTCTGACATCAGTGCATGCATGCAGCGGGGTTTGTCTCGCTTCTCCTCACTGTGGTCCATTTTCTCTGCAACATAAAGTCCTCTGTACAACCAGAACAACGTGAAGGAGGAGAGATGAAAAGTTAGAGAGATGGAAATCAGAAAAAATCAAAAATCCAAAAACATGTCCGACATAGTGGACACATGGAGGCTCCACATAATGGAGACGTCCACCTGCCTACAGCTTTACAGCCTCCACTGTCAACTGTCTTCATCATTTTACGTCCAGGATTTCTGGTTCTTGTCTCAGTATTGTTGTTCTGTCTTGTTTTTGTCGTTTTGCATCTCGTTTTGAACGTTTTTCTCATCATTTTGTGTCTCCCTTTGTGTTGTTTTGTGTCATTTTTGTCGTTTTGAGTCTTGTTTTGTCATTTTGTGTTGGTTTTTTGTCTCATTTTTTATTAAGTGTCTAATTTTTGTCGTTACGTGTCTTGTTTTCATTGTTACATCTCATTTTTGTTGTTTTTTTTTGTCTCATTATTGAAGTTTTGTCTCCTTTCTGTCATTTTCTGACTTGTTTTTCTAATTCTGTCTTGTTTGTGTTTGTTTTTGTGGTTTTGTGTCTTGTGCTTCGTTGTTTTCGTCCAACAACTGACTCCTCTGTTTGCTGGTTCTGAGCCACGCTGCATTTATGATTGATCCAGCCGGTTGGGTTTCTGTGGAAACACCTGGCTGTTGGTCACTTGTGAGTCAGTCGTGGAGAATCTGTCTCACCAAGGAGCTCAGAATGTTTTGTTTTTTAAAGCATCTGATTGGTGCAAACGTAATGTTTTTGGTTAATTGTTGAACGACACGTGTTGAACAAGACGCAGGATTGTGATTAAATATCCAGTTTATGGGTAGATTTGGTTATTTTTTGATGCGTCAGAAGGTTTGAAATCCAGCGATTGTTTCTGTTTTTACAGTTTCTATGATGAATAGAGTACATGTGGGAATATTTTAAACAACATGTGCATTTTAAGCCCGATTAAGATCATGCAGAAGCAAGACAACTGATGTAAGAGAGTGAAGTAGTTTAAAGGGCCTCAAAATCCAGTTTGCTGATTTCGACAAACCCTTCACGTTGCAAACACTGTTTTAATGAGTTGTGTTGACGTCCTGATGTTGCATCAATTCAATCATGTTTAATCTAAACTTGAATTTCTGCGTTAATAACGTTCTCTGGCTGGAGTTCAGGATTTCAAGTCTCTTAGCATGAAGAACTTGGGTTTGTGTACCAGTTGCTTCATCAGAAAGTCTGACGCAAACTGTTGCGTTAGTTTCATTGGCTGAGCCTCAGTACTTGTTTTCAGGTGGAATTAGCTGTAAAAGCATCTGTTTCAGCGCAGCGACTCAACAGCGCCGACATTCCTCCACGTCCATGTGTGCATATGGAGCAATTAGCAAGTGTGAAACGGTCCTCTGGCATTAACCCGAGTGAACCCGCCGAGCCCAGAGCTAAAACAAGACGACAACTGGACGTGACAGGGTTGTGCATGCATGTGCCGGTGGTTCATCCGTCCAAATCCAAGGCTTTAAACGTTTTCTTCTGCTCTGCACGTCATGCATACAAGCTAGCATGTGTTGCTCAGCTTTCTACAGATCTATTCAAGTGATTTACGCTTTAATCGGTTCACCAGCTCTGCATGGCGGTCCATTTAAACCAGTGTTCAGGTGTACGTGATGACTAAGCCAGAGAACAAAGGTGTTGGATAATAACCAGACAACATGGGAGCAGGTCAGATGGAGATGTTCTGCTTGGAACAGAATCAGAAAAAGAAGAAATTTAAGTTTAAAAAAACTGAAACAACAACCAGAAAAAATGGAGATTCCATCAGCC